GTGAGAGGAGAGAGAGAATGAGCGAGAATAAGAGAAAGAAAGTGCAAAAACCCTAAAAATTTCACTATATAAAGTATCTGATTAAGGCAAGATTACGTGCCTGATCTTATCCTCAATTATTTCCTCTAAACAGATTAAATTTATACTGATTAGAGGTAATTAGTTTAGCTCACGTAAGCTACTACTTACACGTAAGTTAATCTACTACTTACAGTCCAATATTAATTTCTGAATAATTCAATATTGTTTTATATTCTTACTCGCGTAATATTTCAAACTGTTTCAAGTCTTGAAATTAATTTTAGACTGAACAAATTCTAAATTTTAATTTTCTGTATTCTATCCCGAGAATGACGTTTCTGACAGTGTCAACTCCCGAGCTCATATTGTACCCATCTACTATAGGTATTTATCTTGCGACTTTAACCTAACTGTCTAGCAATTAAGGATTTTTTTCTTCTTTTAAAATGCTAGTGCGTTTTTTTTTTATACGCCGCTAACATCGTGCCGTGCTTAGAGATTCTTGAAATTAAGATTCTCAAACTATACTTGTACTGAAAATTATTCCGCCTTAAAATACGGTGAGAATTTATCGATCGAATTTACTTGATCGAAACATGAACTTAACATGAAATTTGCTATAGAATTTAGGAATACATATATTAATTCCATAAATCCTCCATTCACAATATAACATAATATTTTCTAAGAAAATCCTTGGCTTAAAAATACATGAATTGTATTATTTAAGGTCTGGAATTTTCTCAGTCATTACAATTTTTTTCTATACATTCACAACGAAAAGACGAATAAAACCCCACTCATATATCCTATTAAAATTTTTCATCACTATTGAATTTTTATTAAAATACTATCTAAATATAAATTTAAGTTTTGACCCACTCAAACACAAACTCAAAAAGATTCTCAATTCAAATCATAACTCAAATGTGCTCATCCAACACAAACTCAAGTTACAACTTTAACTCAGTTATAATTTAAACTCAACTCAAGATCATCACTCAAGTCACCCTAACTCAAAAATGCAAATGAACGACCCCTTAATCTTGTATAGGAACTGAGAGAGCAGAGTTTGCCACAGTGGAAGTAAATACCATATACAAAGCAGCCACTTTGAAATGGTTGAACTATTTTGTTTTCATAGGCTACACTTGTGTTATTGGCACTCTTGTTCTTGTCCTTCTTCCCTTATCTTTCCAAGGTAATTATTAATAGTTTTATTCATTTTTTTAAATTGAATTTCCCCCTCATATTAAAGATTATCTTACAAACATTTGCATAATATTTGAGAACTGCAAAATGGAACTTCCTTCTTTCAAGATGTCTTTTCTTTACAGGATTGTCCTCCTTGCAGTGATTGGGTATGGCAATACATTAGCATATCAAATATATGAGAATTCTGATTATTCTGATCATTAAACGAAAAAATGGACAAGCAAGAAAAGAGAATCCTATTTTTCTTGTGTTTAAAGGACTTTATGTTTCATAATGCAGGGTTTCATATACTGCCTGTGAATACAAAGGAATAGAATACAGTTGACCAATTCTTGCCTCAGCCATCAACAACCTTACACCGGCTTTCATTTACGTATTGGCCATCATATTCAGGTTTCTCTCCTTTCTCCTCATTTGTTTTTTTCTGTTACTTGATTGGAGAATCCGACCTATTAGTTGGAGCAGTTATGTACCTTCATCTCTTTATTAAGCTTCGTTAAGTTGTCATTCTTAATTCGACAGTTCAGAACTGTTTCCTACTCGTAAGATGTTCTCTCATACCGTACCACAGAATTCTCCTTCGTTATCATGATTCTGCAAGTTTGCGACAACTTTGCTCTTGGGGAGGCCTTTTCAGTCACTCTTCTGTTTAATTCTCTATAATAAGATTCTTTTATGTCCCTAAAAGGATGGAAGATATGAACTTGAGAGGCTCAATAACTCGTATCAAAATCATTGGCGCCATGCTTTCGGTATCAGGTCCACTGATAGCGGTTCTCTACAAGGGCCTCACAATTCCGTCCTCAGCATCTTCATCTCCTTCCCCAACATCATTTCCCTTCAATTCAGTATCCGCTGGGAAAATCGCAAACAAATTGGATCATAGGAGGCCTTTTACTAGTCTCCCGAACCATTCTAGACGCAATTTGGTACATTTTTCAGGTTATAAAATAAAAATAAAAAATTCCTCTTGGGGCAAATTGTTGAGAACTTCATGCTATTTTATTTGTAACATTTCAATTTTTTTTAAACAATTGGCAGACAAAAGTGATAAAAATGTACCCAGATGAGCAAACTGTGACACTCGTATACTTCATATGCAAGACGATCATTGCCGTACCAATATGCTTTATGGCTGAAACAAAATTGAGCGCTTGGAGACTAAAGCCTGAAATGTGGATCACCGTTATAACATCCGTAAGAAAATATATATATATAACAATGTATGTATAACATGAGAAGATGTAAGTATAAACATTTAACTGATTAGATACTTCTCTTTTACTTTCAGGGATTCTTTGGTCCATCCTTTACAACGTTACTTTGTACATGGGGGAGGCACTTGAAAGGGCCTCTCTATACCTCAATCTTCAAGCCGTTTTTTATTGCTATCGCGGCTGTGTTCGGTGTCATTTTCCTTGGTGATGCTCTCTGTCTTGCGAGGTATGTAACTTCTTGTTAAGTCATCTTCAAGATCACCAAAGATGAAGTATTTTCAATTTGCTTGTTTATTTCTTTTAAAGAAAACTCATTTGTTCATTTTTTTTCCTAGTGTCGTTGGAGCAACTATAATTGTAGTTGGGATTTATTCTGTAATATGGGGAAAAGCACAAGATGGGCCTGATAACTTGGGAGACTCACCTGCTAGGAAGACCCCTTTGTTGCAGAGCTACATAGTAGAAGAGACTAGCACAAGCAGATGAATAGCGTGCTGATTTCTTTTTTTCCACAAAAGGATGAATATTAAGACCCTGTTCATTTCATTGATTCGAGTTTTGTTACAGTAAAAAACTCTCAGAAACAGTCACATCTAACTTTTTTATTACAGTAAAAAGCTCTCACATAAAATCACATATCAACTCAAATTAAAAACTCAAATCAGCGAACTAAACGGGCCCTAAGTATGTGATTAAATTTTTTTTCTATTTATTGCAAATAGTTCAAATATAGTGGAAACCAGCTCTGACTTGAAACTTCCATGTAGTGCTAGTTTGGTAAATTGGATTTTAAACCTCGTTCAAACAATTAACAAATGCATCAAATATTTCATCCAAATAAGTAGTAAAAGAAGAAAAAGGGTCCTATGTGCTATGTCGCTCAAGCTGAGTTTTTGTTGTGAAAAATCGTAACCCAAGTATATGCTATCGCAATCAAGTAATATAATAGTGAATAAGAATATCGTCCCACGAGAATTGTTATTTACTAATTACCAAAATTATATTAACACTAATTTTATTTGAATACTTGAAAAGAGAGTTTATAAAATTAAGTAAAGCAAAACTAAAACAATTAAATAAATTAAACAATGCTAAGCAATGGAAGAAAATTCAATAGATTAAGACTTTAGGGTCCGATTTCACCAAAATTAATCATGTTCAAATTCTCATAATTCAAGAAAATTAACATTCAATCCTATACTGACAGTAATTTCTCTAAAGCAATTATTATTCTTTCTCAAGTAACAATAATATTAATCCAACAAGCAAAATCTACATCTCTGTCAGACTTCTAAACCTGTTAAAAATATTAAGTGCAAGAAATTTAAAAGCACTGCACAAGCATCATAGATATCTCTATCCTATGAACAACTCATGGTATTTCAATTAAGAGCTTATTTAATTATCACCTCTCAGTCTCAAATCAAATACAAAATCATGTAATAGTTGGCCAAACAATCACAAGCATTAAGAATAAATTGAAATACTCAGCATATATGGATTAAACATCAATTACTTAAAAAGAAGATTGAGAATTTGAACATTCATAATCCGGCTACATCGTAGCCCTAGAAAAAGAAATTAGTTCTTCTCTAAACAAAATAAATTCCTAAACAAAGTCTTAATCATTGGAAATGAAAGAAAAGAACTAGTTTGGAGTTGAATTGAAGCGTCTTCGTCTCCAGATTCTTGCCGTTCTTCTCCGTACTCAATTCTCCTTTCTCTTCTTGAATCTCCTCTCAAAGGTCAACCGTCACTCTCAGTCCAAAAGCCCTTCTAATTGCCCTAGAATCATGTATTTATATGTTTTCAAGCATTAGGGTCAAAACGGGTAAGTTTTCTCACGATTGGCCTTCAAAACGCGTCTTTTCTCGCGTTGTAGCACCGCGGCGCTGAGCTCCTAGCGCTGCGGCGCTGGCTACGAAAAATCCTGGGCGCCAAAACGCTGCCCAAATGTCTTGGTTCTGTAAAACTGAGCGCCAAAACGGTACAAATTGGCGCCTAAGCACTATGTTTGTTGTCTTTTTCCACCAAAAGTTATTCAAAACATTCCAAATCATAGACTTTCACCTAACCTTCAAACAAAGAACGAAAACACACATAAAAACTAACAAAAACCTCGAAAACCAACTAGATATTAAGTGTAAAACGATACTAAATGAGAGAGTAAAACTCACTCATTAGTTTTCCTTAAAGAATTTATACATTTTGTTGGAAAAAGAAAAGAATATAAGAATACAGGGAGCCGTGTACCCTCAAAGTAGGTTAATCTTCATAGATTTATGATTGATTTAAGACCAATTTTAGGAAACTTGGAAGGGTAGAACATAAGTTATGTAAACTGGCACTGGCGACAATATTCTGAATTATGTGAACGCCACAATGAGATTGGACAACTAATGCTGTTTAGAAGTTGAAAAGATGTGAATTTGTTCTTGGTTGCTTAAAATGCGCACTAGTTTATGTTGCGTTTTTCTCTCGTGTTTACTTTACTATTTTTTTTTTAATGAAATTTTCAAGCTCTCCAATAGTTAAGTTTCTCAAAAATGAAACTAATTGACCAATTTGCTTGCAAAAAAGACACACTATGGAGAGGATATGCTTGAAGAAGTTACATCTGAATATCATTTACTATCTATTATGACTATGCATGCCATCCAAGACGCATTCAAAGAAGCAGCAAGTTTATTGATTTATCAATTTGAACTATTTTTGTAATTACGTCGCCGTTACTTAACTACATAATTTTTGAACTTAACATAAAACACTAGATTTACAGATTTTTTTTCCTTTTTTTATATAATAAATAATAGCTTTCAAAAATGAAATAATAATTTCGTAAAACATAATAGTCATAATTTCATAAAAAGTTTCGTAACTTCAATTAAAACCTTCTAAAACTGTTCTAAATTAAATATCATTATACATTCATATTTCAAATACTTTTTAAAACCTTTCTAAATTTAGTCGTTATAATTTTCTTAATTGAAATTTCATATATTTGTTGCACGAGCTGTGACAACATATTAAATCTTAAAATTTTATAGACTAAGGTTGTATAATTACAACCTTGTTCATCTATAGCGTACATACGTACATAAATACTTGAAAATTAGTGAATCGTACATACATAACTTATTTTAAACTTACTGCGGAAGACTATTTGTAAACGAATCTATTCCTGTTTCCACCATTCGTCCACCACTTACCACTACCCATAATACGTTGCCGATAGGTTCCTTACCGACAACATGAACATAATTAGATGATCTTTCGTTCAGCAAGTAGGAATTTCATACTCACAAACATAACTTAAAAACATTTATCAAAATATGCATGAGCTGATTATGTTTCATTATGAACATGTCTTAAGAATTTAACTAATCTTGTCTTACTTAACATGGTGGGCCCGAGTGTTCGTAAGAGATGCACGCAATAATCGAGTGTTCGTAAGAAATGCGTGCAATAATTGTCTTCTTCAAAATTGTCCTTGTTGCGCTTATTGGGTATAGATGATTTTGATTTTAGAGCAAAAAAAAGGACAAGAAAGTAAAGAGAGTCCTATATTTTCTCATGGACAAATTAAGATTTATGTTTTGTATGGCAGGATTTCAAACAATGCGTGTCGATATAAAGGTATAGAATACACCTCACCAACTCTTGCTTCAGCCATGAGCAACCTTACACCTGCTTTTACTTTCATTTTTGCCCTCATTTTCAGGTTTTCTTTTCTCCTTGTGCACCTCATCTTATGTTTCTTTAATATTACGCCCCGGCAATATCTTAATTACTTTGTAATTATATGTTCCTAAAAGGGAAAAAAAAAAAAAAAAAAAACGGTTGTGTTATGTAGCTTTTTCTTGGGATATTATATATTCACATTCTTTTGTGGTCACTACTTTGTTTTCTTCTCATCCATTCAATTCTTTTGATCCTTTTTTTTTTGGCTAAAAAAAAGGATGAATAATATGGACATTAGAAGCAAAACAATTCAAAGTAAAATCACAGGCACTATACTTTCAGTATCAGGTGCATTGATCGCAGTTCTCTACAAGGGCCCTATAATTGTATTCTCTGCACCTTCATCTCCTTCTCAATCACAGTCCCTTTCCTTTCAACATTCTTTGGGAACATCAAATACAAATTGGATCTTAGGAGGCCTTTTACTAGTTTCCGAAAATCTTCTGAACTCCTTCTGGTACATTCTTCAGGTAAGTAAAACTCACAAAAAAAAAAAAAAAAAAAAAGAATTTCATCCAAATCCGAAACAAATTAGAATATTCAGATGATCAATTGTGTATTTTTTTTTTTTTTTTTTGTGTGAACCTGACAGACACAGATAATGAATATTTACCCAAATGAGCAAACTGTGTCACTCATATACTTCCTGTGCAAGACAAGAATTTCCTTACCAATATGCTTTCTGGCAGAAACAAAATGGAGCGCTTGGACACTGAGACCTGATATAGAATTGGTCACTATTGTCTTATCAGTAAGTGTATATATATAAAATATTTCCACCAAAAAGTGTCTATATAAAATAAACAATGTATTATGTACTGAACTAGTCAGGGAGTGTTTGGACCATCCTTCAATACATTGGTCCACACATGGGGAGTACACTTGAAGGGGCCTCTCTATATAGCAATCTTCAAGCCATTTTCTATTGCCATTGCAGCTGCCTTTGGTGTCATTTTCCTTGGTGATGCTCTCTTTCTTGGGAGGTAAATAACATAACCTCCCAAATAAGTACTATTGTCTCCTTGCATTGCCAGTTTCCTTTAGTTCAGTTTAGACAACTCATTTGTCCTTTTTATTTTTTAATTCATTCTTCGTTATAGTGTCGTTGGAGCAACTATACTACTACTTGAGTTTTATACTGTTATATGGGGAAAAGCACAAGAAGGACATGTCATGTATTGTGGGCCCGAGAACATGGAAGGCTCACCCGATGGGAAGACCCCTTTGTTGCAAAGTTAAAAGATACTCACTTGATGGGAAGACCCCTTTGTTGCAAAGTTAAAAGAGCCCGTAATATCGAGAATTTTGAAAGTTTTGGACAAAGATGATTAATAACAGAACTTTGATATTATTAATTACTTTCATTTATGTTTATCAATAGGAAAACCTTAAAAAGCTTTTTGAGAGAGCTTTCAACGATGTATAGATCACACAAATTGGATTTAAGTGAGTAATGATGTCTCAAAATCATGGTTGTATTGTACTATTGCAACGACTGGTGCATCTAGCAAGCGAGGATAGTCAATCCGTGATATGGGTCATGATCTCGACAGGTTTAAAACATTCTTAGTTTGTAAAATATGTATGTAAAGTTTTGTGACATTCGAGAATATATATATCGAATTTATATAAATCATTAAAACAAGCTTGATTGTTTTTGTATAGACTGGGTAGAAATTATGCGATGCAACTAGAAATTAATACATGTTTAATTTTGGTTATTTGATTCTTATATGAGGTGTATATGTAAAAGCTTATTGAGAGGAGAGTTGATTATTTGGATTGGTCAAATGGAAAGAGGAAGATAACTTTCACTTTTAAAAATGTAGCTCATAGTTGTCATTACAAGAATTTATTTTGTTATTGAATGAAAGAACTATTTTTGATATTGCAATATTTAAAAATTAAAGCAAGCTTATTATAAGAAGGAATTCAATTTTTTAAAAGCTTATTATAGGAAGGAAATCGCTTTTGAATTGATCATGGGTTTGGTACAGTAGTTAGTTGTGCTCAATTTTTACATTATACTACTATGCTAGAAGTGTGAGAAAATACTAAGCTAGTATGGTACACTGATATTGGATATTGATCTAGACTAGTGCTGAAACTTTGGACGGGCCGCTCGTGACCACCGAAAAGTCCAAATTTTTGCCCGATGACCGAACCCGATCTGCCCGAAAATTCGGGCTGCCCGACCCGACCCGAAAATTCCCATGGACGGGCTTCGGGCAGAGGAAGCCTACCCGTGCCCGGTCGGGCTGCCCGATGCCCGACCGGCTGCCCGAAATTTTTTTTATTTTTTATATTATATTTTTATGTTGTTGAAATAAGTATTTGTATAATTACAATGTGTAATTGTGTATATTACAATTTAAAATATGAAATGAACACACGACACAAACGAACTATATAAAAAAAATTACTTCTTCATTGATTTTTAAATTTGTAATTCATGATTGCCTCATTAAAAACCTTACCAAGACAAACCCAATTGGGATAAAAACTTGGTAAGAAAAAAAGAGTGCAATCATTGTGGGACGAATTATAAATTTGATGAACTTACAAAGTCTATACAAGATTACAAATTACAATAAACACTATACAAATTAGAAATTACAAAGTAAATAAATATTTACAAAGAAATTATCAAGATGAAGCAGAAGGATCATCTTGAAAATTAAAAGTTAATCTATTAAATTTGTCGATCCATTCTTAGTTTGCCGGTGAGATTGTATCGTGTAAGCGTTGGTCGGAACGGTCCCAATCCTTGATGCACACCAAAGCTTCAACAATATCCTGCTGCAATGCGTTTCTCCGTTCTTCAAGTATTCGGCCGGTT